AAGTAAGGAGAGAGCGGATCTCCTTGTCGAAGGCCTCTGGAGCTAGGAAAAAACCCAGCAAGTTCTCCATTTATGTTGATGGAGAATCTAGGTGTAGTGATGCAAGTTTGTATCCACTTTCTCATCTGATATGGTATTCCAAATATCTTTAAAACATCTAGTAAGAATCCCCAATTAATGGTATCATATGCCTTCATAATATCAACTTTGATGGGGCATCTTGGTGATCCCCTTTGCTTATGATAATCCCTAAGTAGCTCCTGAGTAAGGAGGATATTATCACTGATCTTTCTCCTGGGAATGAAAGTTACCTGATTAGGTCCAATAATTCCAGAGAGCACACATTTGATTCTATTTGCAAGTATCTTCAAAATGACTTTGTTGTACAAGACATTACAACATGAGATTAGCCTGAAGTCACCCAAATCTGAGGGGTTTTGGTTTTTTGGGACAAGAGCAATGATAGTGGCATTCATCTCTCTGAGAAGACTGTCGTTCCTAAAGAACTCCTTAACATCAGCAGTCTCCTCCCTTCCCACAACAGGCCAAGCTTTCTTGTAAAAATAAGAATTGAAACCATCAGGACCTAGAGCTTTCATATCATCAAACAAGAAAAACACTTCTTTAATCTCTTCATTTGTAATCTGACTCCAATAGGTTTCTTCTATCTTCCGAATTAGAAGTATCCACATTATCTCCCAACAGCTGAATAAAGAACCATGTAGCTTCCTCCTTAATAGCAACATCTCCCTTAATGACCATTCCATTTCCCCCCTTAAGATTAATGATTTTTTTCCTGTTTCTTCTACTAGTCATAGTTTTAAAGAAGAAAGCAGTGTTTTGATCTCCTTCCTTGAGCCACAAAACCCTTGATTTTTGTTGGAAAAAAACTTCTTCATTTCTTGCAGCTACTGAGTAATTTGCTAATAGCTGTTTCTCCACAACCTTTAGTGCCGGATCTGATGGATTGGTGTCAAGCCTTCTTTGGTAATTCTCAAGGGCAACCCTTTTCTCTTTCACCTTCATAGACATATCCCCTAACTCCTTACTCTTGTCCTTTAGTATGGTTTTGAGTTTCTTTATCTTGCAGGACACTTTAAATTGAAAGGACCCCTGAATATCCTTATTCCAAATAGCTGCAACAGTTGGTAAGAAGTCTTCGCGATCAACAAGGTAGTTGAAGAATTTAAACGGGCACTTTCTTCTCCTATTAGCTTCTCCCATCTTGATTAACACAGGACTATGGTCTGATATGCCTGCTGGTAGAAATTCAATCCCCGAGTGCTCAAATTGTTGGGTCAATTTTTCATTTACAAAGACTCTGTTGAGTTTCCTGGCAATGCAGGCTTCCCCTTCTCTTTTGTTCCTCCATGTAAAGAATATATCAGAGTACCTTAATTCCATCAGTTGAGCCCCTTGTATACAATCTTCAAAATCCTCCATAGCTTGAGGTCATCTATTGTAGCCACCCTAGCTCTCTTGGGTGTTTTTAATGGCATTGAAATCACCTAGGAGAATCCAAGGGAGAGAGCTAAATGTGGCAGACTGTGAAACTAAATTCCTCCTTTCATAATCCTCATTTGCCCTATACACAAAAGAAGCAAAAATTTTGGTCCTACTATGAATGTGCAAAACACTATAGTGTATCACTTGTTTTGTTTCAGAGATCTTGTTAACCTCTAGGGTATTGGGATTCCATCCCACCAAAATTCTCCCCAAATAGTGACTGTAAAAATTATCAACGGACTTCCAATGCCTAAAAACATTCCTTCTGACAATGTCTCTATTAACACCTCTAACTTTAGTCTCAATAATGCTCACAAGGTCCACATGTTTTTCAACAATTAATTTCCTAACTTCCTCTTGCTTAGAAGGTTTATTCAAGCCCCTAATATTCCAAGCAGCAAAATTAAACATCTTGGGGGTTATCTTTTGAGTATAAGATGCTCAGACATCTTTAGCAGCCTTGGAGTAGGGCTTTTCTTCTTCACCTTCTTTTTCTTGTTACCATTGTGGGGTGGTTTTGGTTCTTTAGGTTTTCCTCCTAAGTTGTCTAACTGGGTATTGAGTTCCACAACAAGTTGACTTCCCTCAATTTCCAGATTACTAAACCGATTTGAAGCATGAACAATTTATGGATTTGACACAATATGATGGCAGTCAGTGATGACTATAGAAGTTACCTGAGNAAGTTGTCTAACTGGGTATTGAGTTCCACAACAAGTTGACTTCCCTCAATTTCCAGATTACTAAACCTATTTGAAGCATGAACAGTTTATGGATTTGACACAATATGATGGCAGTCAGTGATGACTATAGAAGTTACCTGAGTATCCTCTTGAATGGTCTGCTTTGGCAACTCACTTTGAGCTTGGTCTTGGCCATTGTAGCTACATTTTGGATCATCAGAATATTCCTTGGTAGCCAATTCCACATCATCGGTCACTATAGCCTTGCCCTTCTCATTTATGCCATTTGTAACCTTCTGTGCAGATTGTTTAGGCTTCCATATTCCATTACCTGCCAATCTTGGGCAAGTAGCATCACTATGCCCAAACACTTTGCAAACATTGCACACCTTAGGCTTCCATTNGGTCACTATAGCCTTGCCCTTCTCATTTATGTCATTTGTAACCTTCTGTGCAGATTGTTTAGGCTTCCATATTCCATTACCTGTCAATCTTGGGCAAGTAGCATCACTATGCCCAAACACTTTGCAAACATTGCACACCTTAGGCTTCCATTAGTAGTCAACTTTGATTTCCGTAATTAACTCCTTATCATCAACATCCATTTTCAGGTCAAAGGAGAGGAGTCTTAGCATCCACCTCAACACATATCCTTGCAAAACTCAATCTTTGCAGAGATGGGTTTCCCAACTGCACTGGCTATATGGCTAAATCCGTCCTCATTCCAAAATTGTAATGGAACGTTGTAGAACTTCAACCAAACAGGAATGGAGGAATGGTCCTCCTTTGTAANTCAACGAGAGGAGTCTTAGCATCCACCTCAACACATATCCTTGCAAAACTCAATCTTTTCTTTGCAGCAGTTAAGGAATTTGCATAGATGGGTTTCCCAACTGCACTGGCTATATGGCTAAATCCGTCCTCATTCCAAAATTGTAATGGAACGTTGTAGAACTTCAACCAAACAGGAATGGAGGAATGGTCCTCCTTTGTAAGCAGTATATCAGGTTGCCAGCATTTCAATATAATTGGCCTACCTGCCTCAAACACTGCCGTTCTTGATTCCTCGTTCATAAATTTGAAAAAATAGAAACCTTTGTCATTTGCCAACACCTCAAGCAACCCCATCTTGTGTAAAAGAAGTTTTATGTCTCTTTGTTTAGGAGTTATATTCTACCATTATTTCGAACTTNAAGAAGCCAGGGCCCTGCCTCAAACACCGCCGTTCTTGATTCCTCATTCATAAATTTGAAAAAATAGAAACCTTTGTCATTTGCCAACACCTCAAGCAACCCCATCTTGTGTAAAAGAAGTTTTATGTCTCTTTGTTTAGGAGTTATATTCTACCATTATTTCGAACTTCTTTCATGTTTTATGTAAGTGTGATTCGTTTAGAGTTCNCTCAAACACTGCCGTTCTTGATTCCTCGTTCATAAATTTGAAAAAATAGAAACCTTTGTCATTTGCCAACACCTCAAGCAACCCCATCTTGTGTAAAAGAAGTTTTATGTCTCTTTGTTTAGGAGTTATATTCTACCATTATTTCGAACTTCTTTCATGTTTTATGTAAGTGTGATTCGTTTAGAGTTCACAACACTAGTGATCCACCGTGCCATAAAAAACAACTATATCCTCCATCAATAAGAGGAGATTCAATTATTTCATTAATAATAATTTTTCTTTTACCTCTAAATAGGCAACTTAATTTATACATTCAATATAAGGATAAAACTTGTAAAAAACTTAATCAAAACTTCAAACTGATGATGATAGTACTTTTTAAATACTGCAAAAATTAAATACATAAAATTGATTAATTTGAAAATAAATTGGCAATCAAAATATCATTAGCTTATTGAAACATTTTATTTCCAATTCTTTTTTAATAAGTTAATTCAAAGTTAATAAATCACCAATATTTTAGTTATAAGGGATAAAGTAAGAAATAAAGTGATTATTTACTTAGTATATCATCGTTGAAAAAGTAGCTTTAGTAGTAAATTTTCCTAGTTTCTATGATTCTGAACTCTGAACTAATAGCCCATATATTGCTTAGGTTCAAGTTTAAGGATTCAAGTCTCAATCACTGTCACAAAAAGGAAGAATTAAATACCAGAAAGGACTTGTTCAAAAAAATATATATATATATATATATACCAGAAAAGCCAAATGGAGAATTCAACTTCAATATTCTAATTCTTCTATTTTTTTTGTTTTTTGGTTGTCTTCGTTTTTATTATATTGATTGTTGTCTTGTTCTTATCTGACTGCTATATTTCAATTCTGCTTTGCTTTGACAAATTCCCCACACAAATTCAACATTTATTTTAATGGTCAGGGTATCCGGACCAATTTATGTACACATCAACTAATTCTTTTTTCGATTCAATCAAAGGTAGGTCATCCATGTCGGAATTAAGGAATTTATGAGAGATAAATCTCTTATGGCCTAACTTTAAAAAATTGTCATAATTCGAATTCAATACGTTTAAATTTACCTCTATTACGTCCTTATTACAAATTTAGCTATCTTAGTGTTAGGTCATATGTATTTATCCACACGTATATGTGTGTGTGTCACTTCCAAACTATTGGATTCTCAGAGAAATTTGCCTATCAATTTGAATCCGACCTATGCATCCCATACCAACCGACTCTATATATTTGTTCAGTAACCATTGCTTCAATTTTAACTTTGTTATTCGCATGTTTTGTTACCGAACATCTTCCTTCTTTATCTCTCCTTCTGTTCTATACATACAGCTTAAGCACTTCTTTCTAATTCAGACTTGACTTGTGTGCTTAAAAAGCATGAGTACCAGGGCGAAGAAAGAAAGCAAAATCACCCGGTGCATGAAGGCACCCATTAGGGTTCTGATCAGGGCCAGAGACTTCTATATCCGAAGCCTGTCGGGGTGCGCTGGACGGGTCAGCTACGGCACCGTTATCGGAGGCCCGGCCCCAATAGTCAACAGTACTTTGCCAAAGAGTTTCAGCGTCCACTCAACAAGTAGCAACGATGAAGACTTTAGGGAGCTTATGAGGATTGCTTCGACTAGGAGCCTGGGCAATAAGATCGAGTTGGAGCTTCGCCGAAGGCAATCGCCGATTGCCGGAGTGAACGCTGTCCCTCGCAGCCATAGCGCTGCTGTTGGAAGGATTGATGAAGACAAGCCTTGTGAGTTTGGAGAAGAGATTAATGTGAAGAAGACTAATGCGTATCCAAGAAGCAGGAGCTATGCTGTTTCAAAAACAACTGGGATGCTACAAGTCAAATGATGGGAAATGAAGGGCAGCTCCCTCTCTCTCTCTCGTTCCTTGTATCATTTGCAAGTGATGTTTGAGCTGCGATGGGGTTGTTTTCATATATACTAATTTGCAAACATGTCAAATCATCCACCAGTTTCATATGATTTACGTAGATCTGTTCGTATAAATGTTTGACGCAGAAAAGACAGTATGAATCCAAGGTTTTGTTGTGGGAGCTCATTAATTAGCTGAAACGGAAAGGGGTTAGCTATATTACTGTTGGAACAAAACCAAAATGGGTTAATCTAGTTAGCAATCTGATCTTGCATTTTGTATGTTTAGTGTTTGTGTTGTTGTAAAAGAAAATACGGCTCTTGATGTGGAAAAAAACACAATTCATTAGGCAAGGGAGCGAGGAATTTTTCACAATGAAGATCGATCATCACCAATACTCGCAAATAAATAATTAGGAGGCTTGTGAACAGTCAGATTTGAATAGGGTTTCATTTGACCCAAAATTTGATTTGAAAACTAGATATGAATCAACAAACTTATTTTTTATAGTTCGCGTCCAAATCTTTAAAAATATAAAAATTGAGCTGATCCAAATAATTAAACAAGAGCAAAATGACATTAGCTTAAGAGAAAAAAAAATTGAGTTTAGTTGGATTGTTTGTTTTCTTCTTCTTTTTTTGACTTTAGTTCGTAATCTGTTCCTTAAGAGCAGGTATTGTAAAAGAAGAAGAAGATTTCTAAAGCCGTCAGGCTTCAGCAGAAGTTTCAATTTTTANCAGGTATTGTAAAAGAAGAAGAAGTAGAAGAAGATTTCTAAAGCCGTCAGGCTTCAGCAGAAGTTTCAATTTTTATCTGATCAAAATCNGTATTGTAAAAGAAGAAGAAGATTTCTAAAGCCGTCAGGCTTCAGCAGAAGTTTCAATTTTTATCTGATCAAAATCACTAGAATTTTACCAACTAAGAAACAGATTGGATTGAGTGATCTAAACAGTCTGACTTTACCAGCGATGATTAATTCTCCGATCTTTGACAAAGTCTTTAGGTAGTACTCATCATTGTTTTCGGAAGTTAAATAGCCAATTGATTGTGGAGCTATAGGTATTCATACATCACACATATATAACATCTGAGAAATGATATACAAACTTAATTTGGAGAGCTAAATTTGTTATATTTATTAAAATAATTGTGAGTTTTAATATTAAATAAAATTCAAATCTAATTGTGAGTTTAATGTTCCGTTTGGTACAATATAAAAGTGGGAGGACCGAAAGTTAAAAAAATAAATAAAATATCATGTTTGGTAAGGAAGGAAAGTAGAAAAGATGGAAAAGTGGATAGATTAATATTCCTTCCAACTCACCAAAATTAATCCTTCCAAAATCGAAAGGAAAGTGTATGAAAAGTTAATTATTTGTGTTGAGATGTATTTTTTTTATCTATATATCTTTTTATATATACATATATTATGTATATATTAGTTTCATATAAAAATACAATGATAAAATATGTATATATATATTAAAAAAAATTTAAATTAAAAAAAAATATTTCATCTTAAGGGTGGACATTTTCAATTCAATACGATGACACGACTCGAACTCGATANATTAAAAAAAATTTAAATTAAAAAAAATATTCCATCTTAAGGGTGAACATTTTTAATTCAATATAATAACACGACTCGAACTCGATACAAAAATAAATATGTCAACTCACAACTCGACATGACATAATTAGTTAAAAGAGTTAAGTTAGGTTTGACTAATATTCGACACAAACACGTAATGACTCCACGAATTTGACACGACACCACTTGATTGTCACCCTTAATCTTAGCCAACACAAAAAAAATAAAAATAGTCATTTTTATTTTTCATCCATACAACTAAACACAAAGGAAGGAAAGTGTATCCTTTCTATTTTCCATCCTTGAAGGATAAAAAATGTATCCCTCTTATTTTTCATATTTTCTATTTTTCATCATTCTTACCAAACGGAACATAAATATTAAATAAAATTCATCTTTAATGTAATAGTGTACAATTAATTTGATTTTAATTAGATTACGTACAAGTAACGTTTAGTGTAATTGCTAAGGCAACAATATATATTAGACAGGTTGAATCATGAATGGTAGGACTGTCAAATATGCTTTTTCATGAAGATTCCTCTGTGGTATTGATTATTTTAAGGATGTTGAGCAATCCGACAAGCAAACAACGTAAGTGATGCTGAAGCCGCCCACATGCTTCCTTCTGTGCTGCCTCAAGTCAATGGTGCTGTGTACACCTACGCAACTTATAATTATGAAAGTTCATTTGGATCGAAACCCATAACCTATGAATCACAAATCAATCACACACTATTTCTTTACCCCTCAATTAAATACATCATCATCATTTATCTCCATAAATTTATGGTTCCTCCCCAACCCCCAAGTTTCCAAAATTATTAGTTATAACTTTTAAAATTATGATAGTCCCCTCTCAAGTTTTCAAAATCATGCTTTAGACCTCTAAAATTATGCTTTTGATTCCAATTTACATAACTCTCTCAAACTTTCTAAAAAATATTTTATACCTTTAAACTGCGTTCTCAATTTTCTTTTATCCATTGACTTTTGATTTGAAGATTTTGTATCATTAGTTATTTCAATTCGTAATAAATATTTTGCATCATTGACTTTTTTGTATGATGTATTGTGCAATCTAGTAAAATCGATAATTAATGACTATAGTGATATTGGCCCATAACTTAATGAGACAAACTATAATTCACAGAGATCAATATAACATGTAATGTAAAAACTTGACGTTAATAATAGTTCATCGAACGACCCTCATTGAATAGACATTTCTGGTAAGAGTCATTAGTTAATTGGCCTCCCTCAAAAAAAAAAAAAATAAATAGCCGAACCAAAGTATCTTCATTCAAAAAACCCAAGAGCCAAGGTTCTTTATTTCAAAATCATTGGATACGCACTCCGTTGGTATAAGAGTCATGAAGTGTGTCGGTGTACGCAAAATCGTTAATGTAAGTCCATAAACATCCACTTCAAGAAAGACTTGAAAATTTTAAATAAATGACAGGGGTTAGAAAAACTCGATTTTATACTCATAACATCGTCTGAGTGAGAGGTGTCGGTGAGGACTCAGGCTAAAATGCATGAGTGAGTATCATCTCATATCATAGCATAACATGGTAAAATTTTTATCTAGAATTATATGTTCTTGTATGGAATGGATTGTAGTTGTTAAATGTTGCAGGTGAACATTGCACATACACTTAGGTTGGAGAGTAATTTTCGTAGAAAATATTCTACTGGGTATAGCTCACTCTATATGGGATCACATTTTAGGTGCGGGATATACCCCGGTAGACGACTTTCATTCGGGGGTCTCAAAGATGAAGAAAAATCGAATTGTGGCTTTTGAACCAAATTTTTGTAAAACTATTGTAAAATTATCATTTTGGACATATAATTATATAAAATTACTTGCAATGGAACTTGTATATATAAAGTTTTATTGTGAAAAACTATATTTTTATAAAACATTCACTAAGTTAGTTTTTGGACTATTTTAATAAAATTTTGCATGTTATTATATGAGTATGGATAAATGGACCCGGTGTGGTCAATGTTTACTAATAAATGGATCCGGTGTGATCAATGTTTACTTATAAATGGACTCTGTGTGATCAACGTTGTATATTGGACCTCGGATGGGTCATCTGATTATATAGTGCACAAGTTGTGTTTTGGATAGAGCTCCCCGTACAAAGGAGACTCTGTCCAAATTTTGTTAAATTAGGGATCCCGATAAATGGGGCATTATGTGTGATATCGAGTTACACGGTATTCATGAGTATTTTCGTGGGTTGATGGGTGATCAACGAGTTAATAAAGGACCTCTGATTTTTGAGGTGTTATAATTTAACTTGTCATTTAACTAATTTGAGTTTACTTGATTTATTAAGCCTGAGCTTGTCACTAATTATGCCGAATATTGTAGAAAAGGAAAAGGGCAATAACTAACCTTCCCACCGAGACTTCAATGAGTAAATATTGAATTAATTGGTTACATCCCGTTAATAATGTCATGCAGTGTAATCGACTAATTCAAAATTTAAAAAATGGATGATTGTCACATTACATGGATGGGTGATTATTGAAATTTGTGGGATTCAATTGTCTATTAATTTATTTTTGGATGATTACATTACATTATAGTGTTGACATAGTATAATTTTAAAATTGATTGCTTTCTCAACTTTAATTAACAAGTAAATATTTATTATAACGGTTATACTATGTTAACATTGTTATATGGTATGACCTAGAAAGCACGGATACGGATACGTGACACGGATACGATACGATACGAATATGACGATACGGCAAAACTTAAAAAAATAAGATACGGGTACGGCCAGGAGACGTCGTTATTATTATTTAACGACTTAGAAATTACAATTTTTTAATAATTCTTTAACATTAGTAAGTAAATTTAGAAATTTTTACCATGAAAAAGTTATAATATCATCTCATTATGATCTGTTCATAAAATGAGCATGACAAATTAAGGAATTATAATAACATTTAACTAGTTGGTTTTACAAGTATTTATTTTTAAAAGTATATTTTAAGTGATTCTTTTTTTTTATACCCTTTTAACATATAATAATAGATAATACTTAAAAAATACTCGTGTTTTTAAAATCATATGAAATTTTGTTGATGTTTTATATTGTATGTGAACTCTAAAGAAGGGTTATAGCTTAAAATTGAAAATTGTACATCTTACACCATGTTTAGAAGTATCCACATATTTTATTAATTATCAGATACGGATGATGCGTATCCGATACGTATCATCGAGTATCCGACGAGTATCGTATCAGATACGGGCACGTCGACCTTGACGAAATATCCGTGCTTCATAGGGTATGACTGTTTAACGATAAGTAAATAAGTGAATAAAACAAATCTCACAATATTATTATATGGGGTGGGTATTATTTAGATGGAGTGTAGTTATTTAAACAAGTATGATTAACTTTGTCCACTCTGTAAGTTGTAATTGAATTGAATCACCACACTATATGGACAATGATTGCCGTTATAATGAATATTTGGCGATGTTGTTTAGAATTTTCACACATCATCTTTCTCTCTCGTCCTCCTTCCCCCCTTTTTTTATTTTTTTTTTATTTTTTATCAGCATCATACTATTTGAAAATTTGGATAAAAAATTATTGAAAATTGAGGTGATAAAATAATTATAAAAAGTTAGGATGGTAACACTACATTTAAAAAAAAAAAAAATTAGTGAATGATTTTTTTAAAAAAATTAAATGAGCAATAGCTAATTAGTTTGGTGGGTGAGTAATTACATGTTAAAATAAAATTAGTTAAAATTACGTGTGATAATTAAATAAATTAAAATTCAAAAAAAAATGGGATGAAAGGCTTTCCTGCCACCTCCCAAAAAAGAGAAATTTTGTGGTTTATTTTTATAATTTTTAAGGATCATTTACAATTTTCACAGGTCATTTTATAAGTTTTGAGGACCATTTATAATTTTGAGATTATTTGTAATTGATTATTAAATTTTTAAGATCAATCCAAAATGACCCACAAAAGTTATAATTTTGAATCATAAATTTTTTAACATGACTTTAAAATTTATAATTTTTTTAAATTGAAAACTAACTTAAAAACTTATATGTCAACCCACAAAAATTTATAAAATTTAATGGCACAGTACCAAAATTTTTTATTTCGTAGCCGTAGTCGACTCTCCCAAAAAAAACAATCAAAGCCCAAAAATAAGACTTTTTGCACTTTGTGCCTAGAAAGAAGTTTTTTATTTTGCACGATTAATTTTTTTATATTTTACCTTTAATGTATTAGAAAATATTGCAAAGTGGCCCTCTTATTATTTTTTTCATAAAAAATCAACTCATTTACGTTGACGAAAAAATTAAGAGAAAATTACTAAAAGGGTTATATGGTAACACATTTAGTATATTAAGGATGTTATATAAAAAATTTAATCTTTGTGTTTAAAGTGAAAAGTTTTAAATTTTTCAAAGTATAAAATATAATTTTAAACTGCTCGCCAGTGAATTTTAGGGGTGTCCATGGGCTGAGCCAGGTAGGCCCCCGAATATTTTTTAGACTAGACTTAGATTAGTATAGGCCCAAATTCTTATATGAGTAAATTATTAATTAGACTGGATCAGACTTCGGGTAAAAATAAATTATTCACAGTTAATCCGTCACTCATTAGGTGGGCCTTACAAGCAAACTTTTAGAGTCTAACTTTTTTTTATTTAAACGCATATATTGAGCATGATGCACTACATCTAATTTTTTTTGTTTTTTTTTAAAAGTAAATTATTGCCACTAAACTATCAACTTTCAACTTTCAAATTTGAAACTTTGAATGCCATGGACCGAGTAGGTGAGCTCTTAGATCGGGTTTTTCGAGTAGACTCTTGGGTCGGATTTTGCATCGAATAATGGTTTTGAAGGTAAATTCAAGTCTTTTGTTAAAGAATATTGGGCTTGAATTTGAGGCAATAACGGGACTGTGGGTCAACCCGGGGCTTGGACACCCCTAGTGAATTCCGACTTCCAAGGAGAGACATTTGAGAAATTGGATTTGAATTTTTCTCATCCGATATGCAGAGGAAAGAGAAACAACGAAAGTTCCATGAGGCCCTCGTTAGCATTCTTTATCCTCCACCACCATCACCCCCTCATCAAGTGATCTCTCTCTCTCAACTCTCTTTTGCTTTCTGATCTCGACTTTATTGGTGGACTATTCTAATTTGATGAACCGACACAGGAAGAAGATGACGAAGAACAACCAAATACATCGAGGGACGGTTTAAATTTGGATCGTATCCCAGGTTTCTGTTAGAGTACTACTTAATAAATAAACTTGTATGAATCAAATATGGTTATGAATATTTGTTTTTTAAATGGAACAAATTAACAACACATTATTTGGGGATAAAATGCAGATGAATTGGAAGAGGAGAAGTGCTCATCGCCATCAAGTGATAATGAGGGTGGATTTGGGCTTCAGAAGCTAACAAGGGCTCAGAGGAAGAGGCTTCGCAAGAAGAAGCTCAAGGAAGCCGATTCTTGTCGGAAAAAAAGGAAAATTATCGGACCATTGTTACCCACATCGAGCGATGGCGGTGATGTCGTATGTTGTGCGATTCTAAAAAATGAACCTCAAGCTGTTCGACAAAATGCGGGGCAGGAACTGGATACGAGAATTGACAAGCCAGGTATAGTTTTATGCAAAGCTTATGATTGTAGTAAGTTGAATGTGTTTTAGTGAACTTTTTCCGTCCGAACATGATAGCATGGTAGCCTAGTTGGCTTTTCAGTAGAGGGTGAAAAGGCTCACCCTCTCCTGGTGGGTCATGGGTTTGAACTCGCTTGCGATAGTATTGTCTATTAGAGGGGTTGAATGACCAGCTTGCCCTCCGTGGTGATGTAGTGTCGACCCCGACCACCTTTTTTCACGAGCAAAAAAAAAAGAGATTAACACGAGGGATACTAAAGTTGCAACAGTTTTTTAGTTGATGTAATCCAAGCTACCAATTAGGAAATGCTGGAGCCTGGAGGTAACATAAATGTCTGGTAAGTTACATCCTGCTTTTGGATGTATAAGAAAAAGAAAGCTTCCGAACAGCAAGAAACAGAACCATTAAAGCTTTGAATTGGACCGTGAGCTAGTATGCTTCTGCTGTTATTTTTTCTGTTGTGAGATCCTAACAATTAGGTGAACTTGTGATTATCTAGGTGAGGCAGCTGCTTGTGCTAACGAGAACAAGCTAAAGCAGAGGAGAATGACTAAGAAGCTAGCGAAAGAAAGGTTGAAGTTGTCAGTTGTGAAGAAGAACCATCAAGGTGAGGACCCTAGTGCCCAAAATGAAAGCTCGATTTGACTCCAGAGAATTTTGAGGGTGTTACCGCTTGAGATAGTAGTGAAATTGTCATGGGGAGATCAGATGAAGGTCGAGTTCTCAAAGATACGGTCACTGTGGGTGTGGGTACTGATTAGGATTTTACACTATGGAGCAGGATGAGCTTGCTGCTAATATGTTCTGTATGGTTCTCATTTTTTTTATTTGTTTGTCTGCATGTTTTTCTCCAGAATCTCAACTGATGATGGTTTGGCCAGTAGGTATAAATTAATAGCTTTAGAAAGATGGGGCCAAACTGTTGATGTTCCTGACACAGTTAAGAATAAGCTACTGATAAAAATTATTGTTAACAATGTTTGTCATGTTTGTAGTCCTTGATTGCTCCAAGGTACATGCTTTCCATTCAGTATCATAAACAGATGCTGTACACAATTATAGAAAAGATGCTCTCTTTTTTTTGGTCCAGTGGAAATCCAAAGCAAGAGTCAATAGAGATCTAATTTCATCCCCCCTCCCAACCCCCCAGAGGTAGCTAATGCAACAAAACCCTCTGCCCGTTGAACTACTGTGTTGGCTAAACCATGGGCACACTGATTTCCTTCCCTGAGAATGTGCTCAATCCTTGCAGTCGTAAAGTTGCTTGCAGTTCTCCAAAAGATGCTCTCGTGTTGCTGAACTCTCTAGTATTTTTATCAATAAATTCTTTGCATGATTTTACCTGCTAGTTACACCAAATGATGGCGTTCTTGTGTTTGGATTACCTTCTTGTGTATTATCATTAATGCAGATCATATGGGAAGGTTTTTCCTCATGGAATTTCATGATGATTTTCTTTCGCTGGTGAGTAGCTGATTATCAGGACATTGATACAGCCGAAGTTGCTGCCGCCAAGAATTGCGTCGCATCACTTTCTAATGGTTGCTGCAGCTCTGGTTGAGAATCAACATTAGGACATAGCAGAAGTATCCGAAGCTTCTGATTCTCAGGACATTGATATAGCAGAAGCTTCAGTTAAAGTAGCATAAAGTTATCTGATTTGGACTGTTCTAATTAGGCCAAATGATATTTTTCTTCGAGTATCATTAATTACACGACATTTTGAAGACGGATTAAGGCTTTTTAGGGAGATGAAGAATTTTATGGGAAATTTACCTTGGTGAAATCCGCTCGTTAAAGGTCTGTAATTGCTAGGTTGTTCAGCATGCTCCCAAAAAAGTTTATAAGTACATCTCCAACCTTTATTACTTGGAGAATAAGATAGTGTTGTAAAAGTAGAGATAACAATTGGTTGTTTATTACGAGGGAATGTCTCTTGTATTTATTTTTACAAGTGAGATGATTCTCACGTCATTATTATATAGTCTTCAAGTTTGTTAGAATTTTATTGATTGAATATTGGGCTGTTAGAGACTATATTTTTTAGGTATGACATGACCTTTTAGAATACGATGAGGTGACATTGTGATCAATTTTTAAGTTTAGATATTCTATGATCTTTCATATTTATGAAAGGTCATGCTATGGTGTCGTTCAACTTATGATAACATCTTATATTTTTAGTCAATTCTTGAATAAATAAGTTCAATCTAAACGCGTAACTTGAGTTAAAAATATTAATTCTCTTCTTGATGTAACATAAACGAGCTAAATACCTGTAGTTTGACACATTTACTTGAGGGAGGTCGAGTGAGAGACCATGTCCATCGACTCTTTCTACGAGTCAATTGTAAAAATATCCTTCTACTTGCTCCTAATATCATTTTAAGATATCACCATATGCAAAGAAAGAACAAAAAATGCACCACCACCTTTTTCACAATTATGACTAGTTGTGAGAATCTACAAATAAATACCATATTTATATTAAACCTGCTGCCATAGTCCTGGAAAAAAAAAACATAGGACGGTGGACCCCTCCCTCAAACCCTAAACCCTTTTTGTTCTTCCTATAGACTATTCTTTCTCCTTCTCTCTGTTTTCAGTTGTGCAACCACCGCCACCAGTTGCAGCCATGGCGGAGCTCAAACTCTCAGAGATGCGGGACCTAACTAGAATAGAACGCATCGGTGCACATTCCCACATCCGCGGCCTTGGTCTTGACTCTACCCTCGAACCCCGCTCCGTCTCCGAAGGCATGGTGGGCCAGACCTCCGCCCGGAAGGCCGCCGGCGTCATCGTCCAAATGATCAAAGAAGGTAAAATCGCCGGCCGAGCCATCCTACTAGCTGGCCAGCCCGGCACCGGCAAGACCGCTATTGCCATGGGCATGGCCAAATCCCTAGGGCAAGAAACCCCATTCGCAATGCTCGCGGGGAGCGAACTCTTCTCTCTGGAAATGTCGAAAACCGAAGCCCTAATGCAGGCTTTTCGTAAAGCAATTGGAGTTCGAATCAAAGAAGAGAACGAAGTGATCGAAGGGGAAGTTGTTGAAATCCAAATTGATCGTCCTGCTGTGGCTGGTGCAGCTTCAAAGACCGGGAGATTGAATTTGAAGACGACGGAGATGGAGACGGTGTACGATTTGGGGGCGAAGATGATTGAGGCATTGGGGAAACAAAAAGTTCAGAGTGGGGATGTGATTGCCATTGATAAGGCCTCCGGGAAAATCACGAAGCTTGGGAGGTCGTTTTCGCGATCAAGGGATTATGATGCAATGGGGCCACAGACAAAGTTTGTTCAGTGTCCTGACGGGGAGTTGCAGAAGCGGAAAGAGGTCGTGCATTTCGTTACGCTTCATGAGATTGATGTTATCAACAGCAGGTATTGATTTCTAGGATTTACCGATGTTGATGCAAGTGTAAGTTAGTGAATTTGGATTGAATACTGTTGCATAATGCTCTTTGTATGCCTAATTATGGGAAATTTATTTTCTTTTTTTAAGTCATAAATCTGATAGCATAATTCATTTGTCTTCCTGTACGTATTTGGCTTCTTAGAGAGTCTATGGAATTGGCCCCATAATTCTGTGGTAGGATGGCAATATGATACTTAATTTGGTCTCTTACTTACCAACCATCCTCAAATATCTCCCAGTACTAAGGATTCATACTTAGTCCCTCAAACTCCCCATCATGAGTAAATCCTCAACACAACTATGATACCACCATAAACAGGTCTCTGTATCTCTCTANGTCCTCAAATATCTCCCAGTACTAAGGATTCATACTTAGTCCCTCAAACTCCCCATCAGGAGTAAATCCTCAACACAACTATGATACCACCATAAACAGGTCTCTGTATCTCTCTATTCCTAATTTCCCTCTTTTCTCAACGTCTGGAGAAATATTAAAAAATTAAGTCGGGTTTCTTATATCATTTATTCAGTTCATCATCCTATTGTTTGAATGTTCTGTTTAGACTAATTTCGCACAGGCATTGTGTGTGTCATATTCTAGTTAAGATGAATCCTTTTGGGTATTCATAGCAAACCATTATCTTTGTTTTTCATCAGTTTCCAATTCATCACCTTGCTTATGTCTGGAACCACCATCCTTGCTGTCACTTAACCTATTCCAGTTTCATTGTGTTTTCCTAATAATTATTCTCCGCTTTTGTATCATTTGCTTTAACAATTTCAATTTCTGTCTTCTTGTGTTACGTGTTTATGAATATGGATAATATGAACTTTTTTAGGCTTAAATTTTATTTTGCTAACTTATGGACCAACATCTCTTACATTGCTGCTGTTGCTGCATATACAATTTTTATTGTTGATCTCATGTTGATATCAACATCAGAACGCAGGGATTTCTGGCTCTCTTCACTGGTGATACTGGTGAAATCCGAGCTGAAGTTAGGGAACAAATTGACACAAAGGTTGCAGAGTGGAGGGAGGAAGGGAAAGCAGAGATTGTGCCAGGCGTCCTCTTCATTGATGAAGTCCACATGCTTGATATCGAGTGTTTTTCATTTCTAAACCGTGCTTTAGAAAATGATATGGCACCAATACTAGTTGTTGCTACCAACAGAGGGATCACTACAATCAGAGGCACAAACTACAAATCTCCTCATGGCATTCCAATTGATTTTCTTGATCGCTTGCTCATAATATCTACACAGCCATACACAGAAGAAGATATTCGTAGAATTCTTGACATTAGATGCCAAGAGGAAGATGTGCAAATGTCTGAAGATGCAAAGATTTTATTAACAAGAATCGGAGTAGACACATCCCTGAGATATGCCATCCACCTCATCACATCTGCTGCACTGGCTTGCCAGAAGAGGAAGGGGAAGCTTGTGGAAATGGAGGACATTAGTCATGTTTACGAGTTGTTTTGGGATGTGAAGAGATCAACACAGTACTTGATGGAATATCAGGGCCAGTACATGTTCAATGAAGTGCCAACAGGAGAGGGGGATTATCACACCAATGCCATGATTTCATGAGCAAGTTCTTTGCCGTGGAATCTGTAATTTGTGACTCTTTGCTGTTCTGCTGCTGCTGCTTTTTAATTCGCGCCGCACTCATATATTCAAAAGTCTTATTCACATTGTAATGATTAATGTTTATGTGATAGTTTGGATGAACAGATTTTGAGTAGATTTGCATACATGTTTGATATGCTATAAATTTGCCTTTTTTTTTCGTTGCCATTAGCTTCCAGTCAGCATAATAATTGTCAAATGATGAAGATGGCAAACATGGCTTTCTGTTACCATGTGAAAATGGCCCAAACGAAGCGTAGTGTGAAAGAAACTTACGAAATATCATTGAAGTCAGTATTATCTACTTGCTGGAAACCCAGATTTTACCATCCATTTGTTAACCTAGCAACTTTTTCCAGCTTCTATAACTTCTAATGAGAGTCACACTCAACCAAATGCTTAGTAATACTTCTTCAAAACAAGTANTAAGTCAGTATTATCTACTTGCTGGAAACCCAGATTTTACCATCCATTTGTTAACCTAGCAACTTTTTCCAGCTTCTATACCTTCTAATGAGAGTCACACTCAACCAAATGCTTAGTAATACTTCTTCAAAACAAGTATAAAATGTACCAAAATCTCGGGTTCGAAATGGGTTTCTCGGAGATGTCTCAGTTCAAGACCTCACAGGCCCTGGCAAACACTAAAGAGTACTGCTGCTNTATAAAATGTACCAAAATCTCGGGTTCGAAATGGGTTTCTCGGAGATGTCTCAGTTCAAGACCTCACAGGCCCTGGCAAACACTAAAGAGTACTGCTGCTTTCTGAAAGAGAAGTTACCTTCTTTTTCCATAGCAATGCTTGTAGTTCTTTTTGTGGGTGGTGTTCTTTGGTCATCTACCTATACCGACTCTAGTTTTTCTGATTTATTCATGACAAGGCCGAAGCCCACACTGGCCACAGAAAGCTCCAAGAGTCCATGATTTCTCCATGGATGCACAGGGTTTTAACCTGCGCGATGACCCAACTAACAGAACTTTCTACAACAACCCAATGCTCAGTTATTCGTTATATAGGCCCATCAAAAACTGGGACGAAAAGAGAAGAGAGTGGCTAAAGCATCATTCATCCTTTGCCCCCGGTGCAAAAGACAGAATATTCATGGTGACAGGATCACAACCGTCAATTTGCAAGAACCCAATCGGTGATCATCTCCTGTTGAGGCTTTTCAAGAATAAGGTTGACTATTGTAGAATCCACGGCTACGATATCTTTTACAACAGTGCCTTCCTACACCCAAAAATGGTCTCTTATTGGGCCAAATTACCCTTAATCCGGGCCACAATGCTGGCCCACCCAGTGGCAGAGTGGATGTGGTGGGTCGACTCGGATGCCGTTTTCACCGACATGAGTTCAAGCTGCCATTAGAGAAGTACAAAAACTACAACCTCGTAGTGGACGGTTGGTCCAGCATGATCTACGAGAGCCGTAGTTGGGTCGGGCTCAATGCTGGGGTCATACTCATCCGAACCTGTAAGTGGCCCATGGCCTTGATGAAAGAATGGGCCAATATGGGCCTAATAAGCCCAAATTACGAAGAGTGGGCCCACATCTTATCATCAACCCTCAAACTCAAAGCAACCCAAGTATCCGACGATCAATCGGCTCTGATTTACTTGTTATTAACACAGAAACANAAAGCAACCCAAGTATCCGACGATCAATCGGCTCTGATTTACTTGTTATTAACACGGAAACACAAATGGGGTGACAAAATTTATATAGAGAATTGAGTACTGCTTCCAAGGGTACTGGTTGGGCTCGGTGAAAACTTTTGATGACGTCACACGCAGGAACAGAGAAGGGAATGCGCAGGTTAAGGTGGAGACACGCTGAGAAGGTGAGCGAGAGCTATGGTGCGCTGAGGGAGCAGTACCTCAAACAGGAGGGATATGGTAAGGATACGGGGAGACGGCCGTTTATAACGCATTTTACGGGGTGTCAGCCGTGTAGTGGGGACCACAATCCAATGTACGGTGGTAATTCTTGTTGGAGAGGAATGGAGAGGGCGTTGAATTTCGCGGATTATCAAGTGCTTCGGAACTATGGTTTCGTGCACCCTGATTTACTTGATTCTGCCTTTGTCTTGCCCCTGCCGTTTGACTCTGTGGGACTGTGATGTGTGATGTGTGATGTGTGATGTGTGATGTGTGATGTGTGATGTGTGATGTGCAGGGCAGATTAAAGTTAGGATTAGGAGTGGGATAAGTTAGAAATCTATTTTCAGCCTTAACACTTACAAGGATGCATGATCAAAAAAACGGGCTTCTAATCCATTTGTTTAATCCTCACTTTAGAATCACAAGGTTTTAAGGAATAACTGCATGCATTGCCATTACATAATCATAACAATATGGATATGATATCAATATGAATAAAGAATGAACCCGTGTCCAAGCTAAGTGGATGAGAAGTTAGGTAGCTATTTTTAACAGTATCTACCACGTCTGACCCAACAATCAATGAGACTGGGTTACCTTGCATGAATGTTTCTTCTGGACTCTTGCACATGCCAATTCCCCATTTCAAGTCACAAATACTGTGTAGGAGGGGATGGATGGGTGGAATCCTAACGTTTAAGGGTTTTGTTCCTCCCAAAAAGAAAACACCACCATTTGAGTCAAAGTAACAAATATATGCCATGCTTTTACTAATGACAATTGACAATTCAATAGGGATTTAATGTGAAGATTTAATTAGTGATCTAATTCATTATAATTATTGAATTAATTGTTACGTTCAGTGTTAAATAAAACTCAATTTTAATCCATTATAACGGATTGAGTCCTCAAATGAGTCAAATAACATTTTCCTTGAGTAATATACAAAAAAATGCCTACACCAGGGAAAAAAATATTCATTACAAAGCTGATATCACATCGACATAATCATGTGATATCATCAATTAATAATGTGTAAATAAATAAGAAAATGTATATCACACAAATCAATAGCTAACTGTTCATATAAACTAATAATTATCCATTTTTCTTGCATGTAAATCAAATAACTATTCAAAGAGAGTTCAATTTACCCATTTATAATTACATTATTAGTTAATGATATTAGACACTCCTAGAGTTGAGCCCACGGGGAAGCGAGTGAAGAAGAGGAAAAGCAAAAGGGAAGGAAAGGGCGAAAAAAAAACAAAGCATAGCCGAGGACTAGGTCAATAAAGAAGGCTATAATACAAGGACCAAATTAACATAAGTTATACGGCCTTAATCCGTCTCTTAAATGCCCTTGAAATGAATGTCATGCACTCCTTGTAAATTTGGTCTATCTTTTAGTAAAATTTTGTTGATAGGCATGGATGAATGATTATAGCAAGTATAATTGTGCGTGCTAGATCTTGCACAATATAAAAACGAGAACAGATCTCTCCCTTGGTGAACTCGAGTGAGTCAGTTGAATGGTCAACCACGCTGCTTGGAACAGCCTGTGAGATTCAGTGGTAACCTGGAACGGTAATGGGAGACCCTCGCGGATCAAAGGAACAATCCAGTAAGGCTGAAAAAAGGTTCCTGGAACAAAGAAGAACAAGTTAGAAGGGCGCCAGAGTATTTTTCGGCGTATCCCCTCCGACGATCAAGTCAGTTTTTGAGAGAGAGGAAGAAGAAAACACTGAGTATAATTTGTAGCAAAAGTTTCACCTCCTGTTTTTGCCTTTAGTGAGGAGTATTTATACCTCAAATACTCATTATTGTTGTTAGTGTGGTCAGTAGATGATCATTAGATACATGCAACGTGCGCACTGATTCCTATAAGGAATGTCTTCTCTCTTAACTGTTCAGGACCCCGAATAATCAAGTCTGTGTCATCGGTCTGCCGACGGTTCAATGAGCTCCTCTCGGGGAGGATGCAATAAATGCCCAACCTTAGAGACATTTATTGCCTTTCACTTCTGAGCCTTACCGCATTGAATGCAGTCTCATCAAGGAAATGGTGTAATTAAATGCTTGTTTTCCCAAGTCACGTGTCAGCAAGGTCATGCAGTCTTTCTGTCTCTGATGTGACACAATATGCCACGCGTCCATTCCTCATTGGCTGTGACCCCTGCCTTCCTGTGTCTTTCGACACCAATTGTATAAGACGAGATTATGATAGCTAACCTAGCCTAGCCTAGGCTAGTGACCAGTGCATCAATAACCTTTGCTGGAGCAGAGAACTTCATCATGGATGAGAGTGGGTACATCTCGGTACCGAGGAAGATGTACATCTCGGAACCGAGAGGGGGAGGCCTAGCGACCGATGTACCATATCAGACCGAGGGTACATGTCGGTTCATAAAAACGTACTGGATGCCACTCGATCCCATGATAAGTACCTCGGGGTAGAGGGGACTTGTAACCCGATGGATACGTGATCTCGATAACAAGGATCAGTGACACCGAGGACACGTGTCTTCATCTTGGAGTATTCTGAAAATGTCCCATCAACTGCCCCCCAGCCTTCGATCTTCTGACACCGAGGACACGCGTTGTAAGGAGACGAAGGGTTTTGCAACAACCCCAACTGCTTCATCATTGTCCCTAGCCATTTTCCCTGCTTAGGATGTCGTGTGCATTAAATGCGCCGTTTCGTGCTTTGCGCCCAATGATGGGATAGGTGCTATATATAAAGGGGCTTTCTCTCTTCTTTTCTCATTTCATCGTTCTGAACTTTTCTTCACAGAGAGCCCTTGCCTGTATCTTAGCCAGAGACCTCTTTCCTTCCGTTTGTCAACTGCCCAACCTTTTCACTGAAGCTTTAAAGCCAGCAGACTCATCCTTGCTTCGGAACATTCTTGGAAGGAGTTGATTCAAATTTTCCAGAAAAAAACCTCTTTTTACACTCTGATGAGTCCCAGTATCTTCCCTTTCTTTGCCCTTCTGTCTCTTTTGGTTTTTCGATCACCGGAGGTGTTTTCTGGTTGCCCTTCAGCGATCAATTCCAGGGAAGTCTTCTTGGGGATCTTCGTGAAAAAGACCCCCTCTATTTTTTATCACTTTTTGAAGATGCCTTGTCGTCGCCCTGCCTCCCAGAACCCTCAGGCCAGTACTTTGAGGCCTGGGAAGTACAAAGGAAAATGTGGTGAACAAATTAATGGATTTAGGGTTAAGTACAGCATTCCCCCGAATGTAGACATAGAGGATTATGACCTGGCTGTGCATCCTCGTACTCTCAGTACCGAGGACGCAATGCCTTTCTTTATCAAAGCCATCATAGAAGGTGGGATTAGGTTCCCTTTACCCCTTCTGCTTCTCCAGTTCCTCTCTCATTTTTGTCTCTTTCCCGGACAGTGTTGTCTTAATGTCTTTAGGATAATTATGGAGGTCCTAGAGCTCAATAGGCGTCTTGGGGTAAATGTCGGGTTGAACGATATCCTTTTTTGTTATTCCCTCTTGAGAGTTACGCCTCAACAACACTTGTACCTCAAAGCCAGGGACCCATCTATGTACCTCGTAACTCACCTTCCTGACTCGGACAAGGGGTACAAGAATGACCTACTTATTTTCAGGGGATCTTGGCAGAGAGGTGTCGGTCCCGAGTATGACGGCTTGTTATGCCCTTTGGAATAAAGAACGTCAAGTACGCTGGTTCCTTTGAGTCTATTACTTTTTGAGATTTTCTACGTGCTCATGACCCATTCCTCTTTTTGCTTGTGCAGATATCTCCCCTCGGGAAACAGCTCCTCCACCTCGGTCGTTGGTGAACTTTGCGGACCTAGTCACCGTTTGGAGATTCACTGGTGACGATGGGCTCGGCTGGGCTGCCCACATCCTCCTGAATTATACTCCCGAATATAAGAAGTTTTCACAACTTCCCCAGCCTTTTGNGCGGACCTAGTCACCGTTTGGAGATTCACTGGTGATGACGGGCTCGGCCGGGCTGCCCACATCCTCCTGAATTATACTCCCGGATATAAGAAGTTTTCACAACTTCCTCAGCCTTTCGATCTTCTGCGGTGGTTTGAACTCTTCGATCAGGCGGTGAGGCAAGAGGTTGAGGAGAACTTGGAAGAAGACCCTGACCGGGCCTCGGAGGTAGAAGTAGAGGGTGAAGTTGAAGAGCTGGGGGTCAGAGAGGACTTGGTTCCTTCGTACGCCGAGGTGGGGACTTCGGGCAGAGACTCGTGGCCGGACTTCCAAATCCTACAATCTCTCGACGCCGAAGACGCCTTCCAGGTAGCCATGTCCAACACACCCCGCATTGATCTAGGGTTCCTCAGGCAAAGGCAAGCCCTCGCTGCTGGGAGGGGATGAGGATCTACCGGTGGGGCCCCATCTGCAGGGACCAGCGCCACCCCGTCCTCACGAATCGTCAGCCGGGGTCAAGTGTGTGACCGGGATCCTCAGGTAGAGGAGGAAAGGAGGATCAAACATAGGCACGACGGCCTTGGCAGGGGATCCAGGGCCCCCTCCGCTCAGCAACAAAGTGGGGGAGGCCGTGGGTTACCTCCTGCTCCTCAGCAGCAACAACAGCAATAACAACAACAGCAACAACAACAACAACAACAACAACAACAACAACAACAGCAACAGCAGACTCCTCCTCCCCTTCCGCAGATAGTGAAAGCCGCGGAGTGGAATCCTCGAGCCACTGATCACATGAACCGAGTGATCAGGGTCGACGACTCCGTTTTGCAGGACCCTCATGTCGCCCATGCAGTGAGTGAGACGCTACATTTCGAGGCCGACATGGCGGCTCATAGGGGGCGATCAACGAACGTGTTGTTTCGCTCTATCATCCAGAATTCCCTGGTGGTAAGTTCATCTTTGCTTCAATCTTTTTTAGTCGCCTTTCCTTTTAGTAACATGCCCTTTCATTTGCAGGCCACCCAACAAATCTCCGTAATAGCGGCGCGGTATCATGGAGCTAGGATGGACCTTCAACGGATTCGAGAGCAGAAGGAAAAAGCCGAGGAAGCCCTTGCCAGTGCTAAGGAGGATGTGGCTGCCAGGGATTCCACCNCCCAACAAATCTCCATAATAGCGGCGCGGTATCATGGGGCTAGGATGGACCTTCAACGGATTCGAGAGCAGAAGGAAGAAGTCGAGGAAGCCCT